ACTTCAAGAAGAAGAAAGAGAAAGAAGAGACAATTATGTCCCAGAAAAATCTGAAGTTAATATTGAAAAGATTACTGCTGATCCAGTTACTCTTAAAATGCTTGAATCAATTGGAATGCCAATTAACAAGAAGAATTAAATTATCCTTTTGAAGTGTTTCTTTAGATTTTTTTTTTTGATTAGATAATTTTATTAATATGAATAGACAATTTATATTTAATAGTGAATGGTTTGTTTATTATTGTTATTCAAATGTTAAAAAAAGAAACTGTTATAATTAAAGATGATCAACCTGCTGATACCACTACACCTCCTGGAAAATACTCTTGGTTAAAATATGCAGAAAAGATATATAATGTATTATTTGAAACTGAAGATGAAAAAATGAGAAGGGCAGTATTTGAAGGAAATGCTTCTTTAGTATTAGATTTATTGGACAATGGTAATGACTTAATTAATAAAGATAAACATGGAAACACCTTACTTCATATTGCTGTTATGGCTAGGCAAATTGGTATGATATCTTTCTTGGTAGATCTTGGTTTAAGTCCAAATCATGTTAACCACAAAGGTGAAAACATTTTGATGCTTGCAATTCAATTAGGATTTAATGACATTGCTTTTGAAATTATGAAGTTACAAAATTTTAATTATTCAACTCCAGACTTAAATGGAGAGAGTTTGTTACATTACTGTGCCCGTTATGGAATGGCTCTTATTTGTAAAGAAATTCTCAGGCATAACATTAATATCAATTCTGTTGATTTTAACAATAATAATGCCCTTCATATTTGCTGTTCTTATCATTCATTAAATGTTGCACGAGTTCTTCTTATCAATGGAATTAGAACTACTCAACGTAACTCATTTGGTCATATCCCACTTGAAGACGCTGTTCAGATGAAAGACAGAGAAATGATTAAGTTGATTTTTATTGCTATGAGAGGAAATAACTACTTTGCGTTTGAGAGTATGATTGATGACTTGATGATAGGCAGAGAAGATCCAATTCTTTTATTAAACAAAACTCCTATTCAGACTATGCACTATGGAGAAATACACCCTATTTTGAGACAAGACTAATTATGTTATTTTTTATTACCTTCACTTTGGTTTGTTATATTTTATTAATAACTTCTCTTGTCTTAATGTAAGTTAAAACTTATAGCCTACCTGTATTAATAGCTAATTGATGAATTTCATTAACTTATACACATAGCATGAATTATTTATTTGATTAATGTAAATATGTTCTGAGTCAAAATGAATAAGAAACATTAGATTAGAAAAGTATATTAAAAAAAGGTCAATTAATAGATAT